TACTCTACATTGTATTATTAATACTATTATGTATGTAATTACGGATCACCTTGCAATGTAGAGTAGAATTTGCGTCACGAGAGTAGGATTTTCATTTTGGATTTTCATTGGTAGTCGTTCAGAATCCTACTTGCCCTTGTTTTGATTACTTTTTTACGAACTTGCTCTATAATCCTACTCCATCTTGTTTTTTTTTAAATTTTTTATGTTCTTGTTTGTGTTGATTTTTTTATAATATTTGTAATAATACCGTACGGTTGGTAATATTCGAGGGTCCAAAATTTCGTGTTTTCTCCAAAATGTCCTTAGAAGCTAATATTCGTGGGTACAAATATTCGTGGGTGGTAGTTAGCAAACTTCTTTTCACTTGGATCTACTGGACTAGCTTCCAACACATGGCTTATGGTGGAATATGGAGTAACAGACAAGAACTCTGGCTCCTCTACTGGCTTGAAAATAGTAGTTAGAGCTCTGCATGGCCCGTTAATTAGCTTTTATGTGTGGGTGGGTAGGGGTTAAAATTTTGTGGATAAAAATAAACCACGAAATTAACGAAAATTAATACCCCACGAAATTTACCAACCGTACGGTATTTCTTCAGATAGTGTCCATTGCCATTCTGGTGAATAGTTAATTCTATACTGATCAATGTTTAGTGAAAGCTGCTATAATAATATCTATTGGCTGTGCTACCCACCTAATTCCACTTTGAGCCTATCATTTCCAATTTCTGATTTTATTTGCCGTCATTTTTAATTCTCCTTTTCCTTAATTGTTGATTATTTATTTATTTATGTATATTATGATCTTTATTTATATATTATATGTATATTTTTAAATCTATTCATTTATTTATTCATTTTCCCCTTTTCTTTTCTTTTCTGATTTTCTGGGTGCCAGCAGCTCTTGCTGGTAGTCCTTCAGGATGCTTCCTCTGCTCTCTCTGTGCTATGGCAAACTACTTATTTTATGCATCTTGTAAAATTATAATGAAATCAAATAGTAGTCATGACATGAGTCCTTGTTCAAAAGAAGCAGTGAGAGTATCCATCTTCCTTGCAATCCTGTGTTGTGTTGTTCCTGTTGTTAAGCTCATGATCATTGTTTAACATTATTGTTTGTATTTTTTTTAATACAATTTATTTTAATAAAACAATGATATCTAAGATTAAATAACTTCTCTTAGCGAGAACTGGAAGCCTGGAACCTCCACTAAGTAAGTATTGCAGTTGATCCAAGCATAGCTAGGTAAAAAATAGCTTGCTTTTCCCAGTTCTGAGATCTGAGCATGCGCGACCACACCCAAATTTTGGAGCACAATCAGCACATGCTTCTTTAATTAACAAAATGGCGGAATGAGATAAGTTTTGTCTGATCCTACAGTCATAGTGTCACTTCTTCCTTTCTTGGAGAATGAGGTGATGGGACATGGACCTGCGCATAGACTGTTGGAGTAGAATGGTGTAAGAATTAGCCTTCTAGCACCAGCCAATATTGAGATACACACGGACAACTTGATTGACAGGAGATGATGAAGATGAAAAAAGTGGACTGAACAAAAATGGTCGTTTTTCCGATTTTTGACTTTTCTCTTAGACAAGGTGTAGAGCCACGCTAGTGGTACCAATGGAGTCCTCTGGTCAAGATAAGGTCCTCTAAGAAGTCTGGTAAGCATAGGAACTCGTTTTCCCGGTATAGCAAAGCTTCAAAAGTCGTGGCAGCCATATTGTTTTGGAGTGAATCCTACTTAGTAACGCTACCGCGTTACTAATAGAAAAATCATTAAAATGGTGTCACTGAACTCCTGTTAAGAATAACAAATAGAATTCAAGTGATGGTTCAGTATTGTGATGCTTCATGCAGCCTGTAATAGCAATTTTGCATTGATAAAGTAAAATTTTTGCTAACATGACCTCTTCTATTGGTCCTAGCATAGTTAATATGTACATAAATTTATTGTCCAAGTATAGAAGTGTTTTAAAGACAGGCTATCCATGAATGATTGTCCTTTACAATGATATTTATGGTCCTGTCGGGTCCGCATCAGTCTGTCCGTCCGTCCTTTTCGGGCGGGGCGGGTCCGTCCGTCCGTCCACTTTTGAGACCCTACCCTGGTTTCCTCCCACTGTGGGCATGGCGCCCCTTCCTCCAGTCCCTCCCGGACGTGACGTGCGGCTTGCCCAGTTCCTGGAGAGAGGAATCTGCTATGGCTTCAGAATTGGCTTCAGGGATAAAGCCACATCCTTGATCCCTGCCAGCTCGAACATGTCCTCGGTGGACCAAGTGCCCGAGATAGTAGATGACTATATTGCAGAGGAAGTGAGATGGGGCAGACTGGTCCCCACTCCCTCAGCATTGCAAGTCAGCCCCATTGGGATCATACCAATGAAAAGCTCCCCGGGGAAATTCCGGATGATCGTGGATCTTTTCTCCCCTAAGGGCCATAGCATCAATGATGCTATCAATCCCCCTCTGTGCTCACTACACTATGCTACGGTGGCCAATGCGGCCCGTAGAGTTATGGCCTGCGGCCAATAAGCCCTAATGGCCAAACTAAACCTGAGATCAGCGTATAGGATGGTACCGGTCCACCCACTGGTCTCCCTTCTGCTAGGAATTCAGTGGCAGGGGACTATCTTTGTGGACAGGGCCCTTCCTTTTGGACTTCGCTCCGCCCCAATCCTTTTTACGGCAGTAGCCAACACCCTCTCCTGGGCAATGTTCTGCGAGGGAGTCCAGTGGTCCTTTTACTACCTGGACGACTTCTGTTCCCCTCGAACCTCCGGAGGCTGTAGCCAGGCATTGGCTATGGCAATCCCCCTCTGCAGATTGGGGCTGCCCGTAGCCCCTGAGAAGGTGGAGGGGCCCGCCACCACATTGAAATTTCTGGGCATTGAGATCAACCCAGTCAACATGTCCCTATCACTCCCTTTGCCCAAACTGACAGCTCTGAAGGCAAAGCTGGCCCACTGGATAAGCAGAAAAGCAGCTTCCAAACGGGAGCTCCAGGAACTGATAGGCCACCTTAACCATGCGGCAGCTGTGGTCAGCCCAGGCAGATCATTCATCAGGTCTATCATAGAGGCCATGAAATGCCCTTGTCTGCAGGACCAACTAACCTGCTTAGATGCCAACTGCAGGGCGGACATTCTGTGGTGGCACCTGTTCGTGGCGTCTTGGAATGGGGTCTCCATCCTCCCACCCCATGCCCCCAGTGTCACCGTGGTATCAGATTGCCTCCGGCTCCTGGGGTTGTGGGGCACTATCAGCTGCTTTGGGGAATGGTTCCAGGTGGCTTGGCCGGCCTCGTGGGCAGAGGCTAATATAGCAGCTAAGGAACTCCTCCCCATCGTGATTGCTGCAGCTATTTGGGGCAACCACTGGAAGGGAAAGCGGGTCCTTTTCCTGTCTGACAACACGGCCGCAGTCAATGCCCTGACCTCTAGGTTGGCTTGCCATCCACTACTCGCCCACCTCCTCTGCTGCCTCTCTTCTGGGAAGCCAAACATGGCTTCTTGCATGTGGCAGAACACATAGCAGGCAGACTCAATACATCTGCTGACGCCCTTTCCTGCAACAAGCTAGACTTATTCCTTTCTCTAAATCCACAGGCCCACGCTCAAGCCTCCCCAGTTTCCCCGGCAGTGCTGGCACCCCTCTTGGACCACGCCAGCGGTGGACCTCCCCGCACTGGGCGCAACTGTTTGGTCCCTGTTCAAGGAAGGTCTAGCAGCGTCCTCCCACCGATCTTATCGCTTGGCCAGAAACTGCTACCTAGAGTTCTGTCGAAGGGCTAACCTCCGCCCCCTCCCCCTACAACAGCGCACGCTATGCCTCTTCACTGCATTCCTCTCACAGCAGGGGTTTGCGGCCCGGTCAGTGTTGTCTTACTTGTCAGCCCTCCGTCACATGGAGATTGAAGCAAGAGCCACCTCCCTTCCCTGCCCCTAGTGGCCCTACTTACAATACGTGCTGAAAGGAGTGAAGCGCTCGTCGAGTAGCCCCCAAGGGACTTTGAAGAGACTTCCCAATACCTGCGATATCATGCGTCTTCTCAGTCATGCCTGGGCCAGCCCAACGGACCCGCCCCTACCTCTCAATGCCTTACTCTGGGCAACAGTGTGTATTGCCTTCTTTGGCTTCCTGAGGCTAGGGGAGGTGATGGTAGCAGGCCCGGAAGCCACTCCACCAATTCTAATATCAGGCATTGCCATCGACTCGCATTCAGACCCGGGCATTATCAGGTTATCTCTAGGTCGCATGAAGACTGAGCCCTTTGGGACAGGAACCACAGTCTTTCTTGGAAAGACAGGGGTGGCAGGCCTCTGCCCAGTAAGGGCCATCCTGAACTACCTCAGGGTTTGCCCCTCCTTAAATCAGGGCCCGCTGCTAATCTTCCCGGACTGGTCGCCACTAACCAGGGATGTTTTTGTGAAGCACCTCAAGGACACTTTAGCAGCCAGGGGAATTGACCAAAGGTGGTACTCGGGGCACAGCTTTAGAATAGGCGCAGCTACCTCGACTGCTCAAGCTGGAGTCCCAGACCACCTAATCAAGGCGCTAGGGAGATGGAAGTCTGAGGCATACCAGATTTACATCAGGACGCCCCTGTCATCCCTCACTGCTGTCTCGGCCTCCCTGGCAAGGTCAGCCTCCAGCCCCAGCGGCCCCAGTTCTCACAGCTCTCAATAGACAGACCACTTATTATGGCCAATGAGGTCAATTATTCACTTTTGAGCCTGTCTATATTCCTTGTCTTTTGTTTTTTCCTTATACTTACTTTTCTTTTGAAGAAGTTTGAGTGTTAAGAGTTTCCTAGTTTGGGCATGGTGTTTTGGGCACCTTTTCACCCCCGCAAAGTCCCCTGCTGACCTCGCCTTGGGATGGAGTAGCCACGCCCCCTTGTTAATGGCGTGAAAACCACTCCCCTGGGCGGGGCCTCTCTTAATTGGCTTAGAGGTAATTTGCAGGGGTTAGGGGTGAGCCTATTATGCCAGCATAATTTGAAGAATAATAGTGGCTTCCTCACATGAGGCATAATGCTGGAATAATTGGGTGGAAATAGGAATAATAGTGGAATAATAGGTGGAGTTAAGGTCAATGGTGATTGCAGAAAAAAATTTTTTGAAATTTTGGCTAGCACCTTTTGAAAGACCTATTTTGAAAACACTACTAGAATGCAAAAATTGATTGCTTGAGAAAATTATTGAGAATAAATTGAGAATAATAGGATAAAATGAATAGAATAATGGGGAAAAAATATTAAAAACTTACAGAAAGAATAATGGGAAAATTTATGAGCATGGCTTAGCAGGGGTATCCCTCTTTGCGGGGCGTGTTCAGGGAAGCCACGCCCAATGCCACACCCTTCTCGTTATTCACGAGCAGGGGTGGCATCCTTTAATATTCTATACTTTAGGTCGAGCAATGAGCATCCTGCTCTAAATAAGGTTGGTAAGTCGTTAATACTGTATACATGGATAAGAAACATTCCAAACCGGATGAAACAATCCGGGTAAGTTCCGGTCACTTACCTAAACCACCCACGTGTAATTATGGCTACCCGTTTATTCTTCAGTAATAAACATGTAAAGGTGTTTGTAAGGTAAAATTGATTTAATTAGATGACTCCAAGGGAAGCAAACATTTCTTATTAATGTATTAAGTACTTCTTTCAGGTAAATTAAAGCAAAAACAAAAGTTAAAGAATTACTTAGTGCGACTTAAAACATGAAATTTAAAAAATTGTAAAAAATAACAAAACATTCTCCTGTCACAAGACCCATATAATACTACCTAGTTAGGTGTACTCTATCAATCTGAAAGGACAAAACCTCCCAAACAAGATCATGTTGTGAGTGAATGTGTTTGAAAAAATGGTGCTCCAGTGAACAGTTTATTTCTGACTGTTGCAACAAGTTTTTTGGACAGTATGGTACACCAAAGTATGGACAGGGTTTCTTAACTTTTCCTGATTTTCTGACAATAAAGATGAACTATGATAGTCTTAGGGAGGAGAAAGTATTGTATTTTGCATCATGTTTGGAGGTGTCATTTGATTATCAGGTAGGCAGCTACTATTTTTTTGTGCTGCAAATGCAGCTAAAATGATGTTTTTATGAGAGGCAGCTATTTCTTTCCTTGAATGTACTGGGTGCAACATTAGTGGCAATAAATTAGAAAGAGACATATCATAAACTGCTAGATTGTAACGAGTTAGCTCAGTTATAAGCTGATAGCCTCATGTTTTGCCAAGCTGTATTCTCACTATTCTGATCTAGTGATGTTGGCAAAATCAAAGGTGCTCAATAAATCTGTACTTCAAATGTAATGAATGTACACTACCTTGATTTGCAGACATTTTAAAATGATTTGCAGCAACACCCTGAAGTTATTATGAATAAAGAGCACCGTGTATTCATATCAGAAGAATCTATTTATAGTAATGATGCCATGTTAAAATATTGTTGTCGTGCCAAGTGGAAACTAGTTCATACTTGTCTCTATTCCTTAGATATATACATGGGACAGCACTTTACTATACCCAATAATCATATTGCTAGAGTCACTGCAATAGAGAGAAAGCTTGCTACTTACGCTCGTCATCAATTAGCTCTACCTGGTGGTATTCTGTAACAAAGCAACATCAAGTTGTCTAGGTTGGAGATGACAATAGTTACTCCTTCAATTTATGTCAAGATATTGTTTTAGTAGACCTAATATGCTAAATCTTGGTGAACAAATTTTATTTTTATATACCTTTTTTCCACTCATTTCCTGGTACCTTTAAAGTGGACTGTAATGTAGCGGGAGCAATTCTGGAGAATAGGCCCAAATTCCGGCAAATTTCTGCAAAATTCATCAGACTTTTTCTTCTTCATCTTCTTCTATGCACCCGTTAATCTTTTAAGCCAGAGAAGCGCTCGAGTTGGCTTTTGCATCATTCCTCTAGGCTTGGGTCAAGGAGCACAAAGGTAGTTTCAACAAGCGTAACAGGGTAAAAATATTCCTATAATTGATTTCACCACCTTGTAAGTACAACTTGGTCACTATTAAGAGTTATAGAGGTTCTCTCTACCTTCTAATGCTTCTAGAGAAGTCTTTAGACAGTATCTCTATGCTCTCTTGCTGTTAGAAAGCTCTTAACTTTGTCCCTTGTGTAAGCCGCCATTTTGTTTGCCGTGACCACACCCACTCACGTAAAGGAGCGTGGGCGGGTGTTGCTAAGGCTTGTTATTTCTCCAATACAACATGTATAGAAGAAATGTAAGTGTGGACATACTTATACAAACATCTCACGTGGGTGAATTCAATTATACCATAGATACTATATACCCAGAGGAGGTAGGACACGGTTGACCTTTGATTAATAATTGCAAAGTTCAATTGCATTCCATTGGTATCACGTGATGCAAAATGGCCAAATTCTTCCACAAGTACCACTTCTAACAATAATTTAGAGCATCAAGATAGAGTCAATGGGACTTTCATTAATTCACTAGAAACTATGATAGGTGCAGTAATTTTTAACATCTTAAACTAGCGAAGATTGATTTATCTGATGAAGTAAAGAAGAGAATCAAAGTTAAGATGCACTGTCTCTTTCTCCTTCTTATATTCATGTCTATAATTAAAGAAGAAATATTCTCCATACAACGGTGATTTTAACAATCGTCAAGGGTCGTCATAGATCTCTCTAGTTTCTGCAGTAGTAGCTAGTTTTGTGATACAATCATCAGAAAGCTGCCATTTTTTATCACGTGATACCAATGGAATGCAATTGAACTTTGCAATTATTGCTCAAAGGTCAACCGTGTCCTACCTCCTCTGCTATATACCCCTGGATATGAAACACGGCCCGACCGGATGTTCTGAGGCTTGTTTCACCGGAAATACGTCATAATATTACGTTTTCATTCAGAGTAAAAATAAAACAATGATAAAAAGTATTATTATTGCTAATAAAAGTGTGATTTTATGTACAATAATACAATAAAACTTGACATTAATCATGCATTATAATTGGTGAAACTTTCCTTTTCTTTTAGTATATGCAGTCTACCAATGCATGACTTTCCCATCTCTTGTGACCTAAAAATGATGATTTTGACAACACAATTGCACCAAAACTAAAAATACACTCCTTTTGAGAATAGGCCCACTACAACTACCTATTCTCAAGCTACAAAACCATATAGAAAAAGTTCCAATTAAGTCAAGTATTACAAAGAAAAATTGGCTAGAAAGGTGGGGCTTGAAAAACCAAGATTTAGAAAATAACAGCTCTTTTACTTAACACAAACTCTAAATAATAACCCCACTACAACTAGTAAACAATAACCTATCAGTACAATAAAAAATGTTGGCCTAATTCAACAGAGTTAAGCTAAAAAAGTGGCTTGAGTGAAATGTACACAACAAGTAGGCTATGACATCCATTGTAGAACTAAAATATGCACTCAAACTATCGTTTATGAACATTATTTCAATATATAAAGGCTTTGCAAAGTCCTCTGAGGGATCATTCAGCTACTTTAACAAACGAATAGGCTACTGTGATTGTTTTACTTACCCTGGCAGCCATGAATGCAGCGAAACAAGGGTGAGGACAGCCGGATGTGACGTTGATGACGTTTCCTTATGGGATTTTATATGTGTGCATAGAGGAGTTTCGTATCCAGGGGTATATAGTATCTATGATTATACATAGATATTATACCGTGCTTTGCAGGTTGCTTGACCTAACAAACTCGTAATCACGTGACTTTCCCCATACTAATAATACATGTCACGTGAGCAGGAAGTAAGAAAATTGGGTCAAGCAACCTGCAAAGCACGGTACACCTCTTTTGAAATCGGTTGTCCATCTGTACTGCGCATGCGTGGTTGTTGTCCATTCATTTTAATGCATCTGCGCATGCGCAGTATGCAAAACTAGCTTTTGAAGGGGACAACTGACTTCAAAAGAGGTGTACACGGAACATACAGGATTGGAAACAGGATCACGTGAGCGCATTATGCATCGAAACCAACCTAGTTTGCCGGGAACTGGTGACCGTAATGGAGATGAATGGAGAAAGTTTGTGGGACTCTAGCAACTACATCGGACGACAAAGCAGGCTAGTAGGAGCCTTTATAGCTACCTCTCAAGGGTCTTTAGTGGAATAAGGCATCTATTAGTGCTTATATCTATGTTTCAAAAAGTTATGGCGAGCTAAAACAAAGTGATCTTAAGCCAGGATGCCATTACTCTCAAACTAACAGATGCGCAACATAAAAAACGTCTTAGTCCACTGTAGGATGTTAAGAAGTAGCTATAGAGCTAAATACCTTGTCATAAAACCGCCGGGTATAGCCTAGAAAGTCCCACAAAGTATTTTTAACAATCTCCATTCATCTCCATTACGGAATTCAAATTTCACTCTTAATAACCACGACTTAACTAGTTCCAAGAAACATAAGATGGTTAACATGCATTACCGGCCGCGAACTCAAGTTTCCAATCCTGTTCCGTGTATAATATCTATGAATTATAGCATAGATATTAGAGTAAATGAAAGGGATTGGAAACTTCCGTTCGCGGCAGGAAATGCTAGTTACCCATACCATGATAATTTCTCTATTTATGGGAATTTTTTCAATTTTACAATAGGATTTATTAAGAAAATTATCAAACATTATGGAATAGTACAACTTCATAATGGGTTTTCTCAAATTGTGTTTATGTCACATACATTAAAGTATGTGCGTGCCCTCAAGTGTCCATCAAGCTTTGCTTTCATATCACATTTAAATGTGCCAATCATTGAACTGTAAAGAAAAAGGTACAAAACGAAGGTCTTTGCAAAAACTTTGAATTGATTATATATATATTCATTTACTCTAATATCTATGATTATAGGAACGACCTGGGGGCTACGCCCCCAGGTCGTTAAAAAAGAAGCGAGGACAGAGAAGAAATGGCAGGCAAAATCCAGCTGCAGACACCGCGTGGGTTTGTGGTTTGACGCCATTTTAATTTATTCGCACGTGATCAGCATGAATATAATTAACCTAACCACAGAATTATAACAGAATGTAATTTATTAATTTAAGAAAAAGAATGGAAACTATAGTAGGGCCACACTGACTTTGCACTGTTATTATAAAAGCAGTCTTGGTGGTCACATTTTAAGCAGCTGCTAATTGTTTGTTAAGTGTTTATTTATATTGTGTTTACCAACTATGAATATCATTATCTCAAATATAGCAAATCACAGGTAGGCCTTGTGAAATTATGCTTTTAATTTTGCCTATTATTCTATTCTCAGATTCTTCTATGTATTGCCCATTATTCTTTTCAAACATGCCTATTATTCTACTATTATTCATTAATATAAAGTAATTAATATAACAAAAATATTTCAATCATGATTAATTGTCATTATATTGAAACATTATGGAAAGTTGAATGTAATCTTCAAGTGCAGAGAACTGCTGTGGTGAGAAAGAGTTGTTTAATATTGAAAGCACACGCTCAGCTGCAGTATAATTAATTATATTATTAGTATAATTAATTATACTAATAATTATAGTCTATAGTTTTATAGTCTATGACTATACTTTATCAATTTATAATTTTTTTAAAAAGTTCTCATAAATACTGCCTATTATTCTGGAATTATTCTTGATTCTATGAATTCCCTATTATTCTCAAAATTATGCTAGCATAATTTCACAGGGCCTAGTTATGTATAGTCAACTAAATTAACTTTTGAGCTCCAGCACTTTACTGGCCATTATTCCCTCTTAGTCATCCTCTGCTAAGCATCTTATAAAGTCCAACAGTTCATCTCTTTGCTTCTTGCTAGCTCCTACCCAACTCTTTTGAAAGCAGCCAAACAAGTGGTCCAACTGATTGGGAGAGAAGTCCCAGGCTAACTAAACTAACAGTTCATGTATGTTCTTCACTATAGCCTCATGTTTACCATCCTATGGAGTAAGGGGATAGTAGTTGTTTATTTATTTGTTTGTTTG